TAATTGATACTGTGAACTAGCATCGTTAGAAAGATAAACCTGTACATAATTACATTGTATGATGTTATTCCAGCAATGGCAGAATAATCCTGCACATAATTATAATGTAATTATGTAATTATAATTTTATCGTTCTTTTTATTGTTACAACGAAAAAATTCGTTGTATATACAGGGTGATTCACATAAGAACCGACACAGAGCAGGGACATGTAGAGGACAATAAATTAAGATGATTTAAAGTAACTTACCTCTATACTAAGTTGTACACCTGAGGAGTTATAGGACTTCAAAGTTGACTCTTAAATTTTTAAAAAGTTCAATATCTTCGTAATAAATTAAGCTAGAAAAACCAAATTTGGTATACGTTATGAGTATACCAAGAGTATTTGGTAACCCTTTGAAATGCCATAAACGGTCTCAATTTGCTACCAATTAATACTTTCAGTACACTCATAACGTATACCAAATTTGGTTTTTCTAGCTTAATGTATTACGAAGATATTCAATGATTTAAAAATTTAAGACCCAACTTTGAAGGCCTATAACTCCTCAGGGGTACAATTTAGTATAGAGATAAATTGCGTTAAATCATCTTAATTTATTGTCCTCTACATGTCCCTGCTCTGTGTCGGTTCTTATGTGAATCACCCTGTATATAACTAGTCGAAACCGGTCCCGTTAAAATAAAGAAATTAATTGCAAGAAAAGAAGTTTTAGTTATTTATTTACTATTTTGATAAATATTAATATTGATTACTTAAGAAAATTTTCAAGAAAAATTACTTAAACTTTTTTTTCAAATTTGTATAAATGTTAAAAATAGCAGTAGCCATCAGGAGTGGTTAACTATGGTAATTAACTAGTAATTAACTAGTAGTTAACTATTGCATAAATTGGCCTTTTACAGCATATTTTCGCATATTTTGTCATTTTACTAGATTTGTTTCTTGGTGCTTAATAAAATAAATATAATGACTGCGAGACTGCGATATTTGTAAATATACGAACATACCTTTTAGTTTCAAGCACAATACAGGATATATGTTGACAAAATTTCACAGAAACATGCGGGGAATCCCTAGCGCTGTTGAGTTTTAGTTTAAGGAAATCCCCAACCATAGTTACTGTGGCTGTGTTCAGTGTGAGTGAACATTAATCTACCAATCTGTAACCCAGTGGATAAAATGTTATCCCGAACTAAATTTAAATAATGAGGAATTATTTTGTAAAGCTTGTGCCAAAGTTGTAAGTAATTTTTTAAAAATTATGTCGTAACGTTTTAGCGAAAGATTTAAGTTAAAAATTAGAGTTTTCAGCGAAGTTACCAATGGTTTGATGACAACGAAATTGTATTTCTCATAGACTTTTACACTAGTTTTAACACGAGTTAAAAAAAAATGGAAAACTGTTAAATTAAAACTATATTAAATTTGATGTCCCATTTTCTTAGGATATGTTTTTACATATGATCGATAATGAAAAATAGTTACGAATCTGTTCTATAGTCTCAGATTTAAATTTTTAATCTGTTGAGTGTCTATGGCTAACTTTTTTAATTATTCTTTTTTAACAAACGTGTGAGAGGAAGTCCCAACTAGAACAACATGTGAAAATTGCAAAACATATACAAAAATGTGATAGAAATAGATCGATTACAACTATAAGAAAGGTATATTTTTACGTATTTCCACATATTTTTTGCATATTTCGGATAAAAAGCTTGCATATTTATGCGCATATTTCTTATAATTTGACTGCATAAAAATCTGAGCTCTACTCATGACTACTGGTATTTTTATCATTTATACAAATTTGAAGTACATAATTAAACTTTAAAGTAATTTTTCTCGAAAATTTTCTTATACAAAAAATATTAATCAATATTGATATTGACTGTACTTGATTCAGAAAAACATCTTCTTTAATATTCCGTAATAAAAATGGGTGATTGCAATTTGAAAAAATATTGATGACGTCATAACCCGTTTAAAAATGGCGGAAAAAATTTTAAATCTTTAGACCCGTTTCAGGGATTTTTCTATAGAGTCTAACAACAAAAATTTTAAAGTGATTTTTCGGTAAGTTTTTCACTTTTCTGAACTCTCTTTTTATTTTTAACGTGTTTTTTATGGCAGTTTCACATTTATAACTTTAACCCCTTAACGTACATTTCTTTTGTCAAAAGTTTGTAAAAAAATATCATTTGACTTTGTTGTTGATAAGTAATCCTTAATAAATTTTGAAACCATACATACATTTTTTGCGCAAAAGTTATAAAAATATACAGTAAATATAACTGTAAACTTTATCCCGAGTGAGATTTGGTCTTGCACAATTTCGCCATTTTTAGTTGCCTGAGTCAAACTCGGGCTTATGCGTTAAGGGTTAATTTTTTTACAAAAAAATTCTTACCAAACTGATAAACATCAAATATAAGGGTGGGAATCTGTTTTTTCTCACTTCTCACTTTATTTTTTCTTTGTTGATTATTTCTCTTATTATAAGGGGGCGAAACCTTCAACAACCTCCACGTTATCAATTCACATTTTCTTTTACACGTGATAAAACTGCTTGCGGTGCTCCAAACGCTCCAAACGACTGATTTATGTAGACTTGACCAAGTACGGTTCGTTACATCCTTTAACGCTTGCGTATAATCAGCATAACTCATTTCCAATTGTGCAGCCTGTCTGTTAGTATCTGTTATGGTTATCTTTACCATCAAAGCGTACAAATTTGTAAGAACTTTTATTTCATATGTATGTTTTATAATAAGTTTCATAGACAAATTAATCATCACCTGAAATTTCAAATTAAAAGTTGAAAATTATAGATTCAACAGACATGTGTAGAAGATTGTGACATGGTATATTTCGCGGTATACATTGTAAAAAAATGTGTCGATAAATTTTCTTGTGAAACGTGCAATAAATTATTTTATTACACTTATATATTTATTATTAAACGCACGACACTTAAAAATCCATGCGATATGCAACGATCTATAATTACATTAAGTAAGAACACGTTTGCTAAACATATAAAAGAGTCAATGAGTGGAAAATTATTAAAAAGTACCCCGACTGCTTTTCTGTGTGTGAGGACCATCGAATTTCCATGCTTCATTTACTAATTAGAACATTAATATACAAAGAATGTGAAATGGTATCGCAAAACTTTAAAAGTCGTGGTAGAAGCAATAAAGTTATTATTTTACAACATACATAAGTAATTTGTAGTTTGCAATTATAAGCAGTTAGCGAAATTTGTTGTTTTTTTTATTATTATTCATTATTTACGTTATGTTCAGTTAACACAATAAAGTCCCACTTAAAAAAGTTCATTAATATACAGGTGTCCGATAATGACACGTACAACAGAAGACCACAAGTACCTTGACCAAAAATATGATTTATTTGGTATATTATATTCCGTGTTAAATCACATAAATTCAATTAATTTTTTATTATGGGTATGCAACTTATACTACAAGTCGAATTTCCAATTTTATTCAATTCATTCATGATGATTTTCTCGTTTGCTGTTAAAGTAAACAAGGTTGGCGTCGAGTAAACATATTGTATATTGCGGTTAAATAACTATGTATATCTATAAACAAGGTTTATGTTATAATTAAAAATTTTAAAACGCGCCATCTACTGGATAACCAAAAACAAATTTTATTTCCCATTGTATGTATTAGATGGCGCAACGCAATATTTCACTAAAAACTTTTTTTAAAACGAAAGAATTAATTGTTAATATCTCATTATTTTACGATAAAATAATATTATTCATCAAAAATAAACACATCGTTTAAATTCGAAAAGAAATTGCGATTAAAAAAAAACCTTCTAGAACAATTTAAACGTAGTGTAATACAATTGTTTCCGCCATTTTATGTTTGCTTTTTGACACTGGCACAGCTTGGACTGCAAAGGGGGTAAAAAAAGGGGTTTTTTGTTCTAAATCGAATCTAAAAGTTGCGAATTTTTGTGTTATGGCTCCGATTAATAGAAGGAACTTTGACAGAGGTGATAATGACTCGGGTTTAGGGACTCAATCTACAATAACTTTGAGCACCCTATCTAGTAGACAGGCATCTACAACCTCAAAAGAGAATAGTCCTAATATTGCGATAAGGTGGGTTTAAACTATCTTTTTGAGAAGACGCTTTATTTCTCATTTTATAGGAGCCGAAAACGCGTTTACCGTGGACGATGGGGCGTTCGCAGTCGAGCTGAACGTAGGATTGTGGATAGGGTTATGTATAACCGCATTTATACAGTAAGGGTGAAAAACGTGTGGGATTGTATAAGCCATCGCAAACTCCATGAAATGTACAAAAACATCACCTCTATCTTGAGTATTGTAAAGCGTAATAGACGCAATGAAAATTGCGATGTTGATTTTTGTTTTACAAGTCGACAAGAAGCCGCGATGTTCGTCTTGGCTGTTGAATGTGGATGTATTGCAGGCCAAAACAAGTTCGTACGTGCTAATATTATTCCATAATCCGATGTTGTTGCCGGGGTCAATTTGGGGCGGCGATCAATTTAAACCAAATTTTTGTGATTTTCGACTATTTTGTTAAATAAATTGATGTGAAATAAATAAATGATGTTTAATTTTAATCTTTTGATCCATAGATGGGGCTCACAAAGGAGATTGAAAAATTCTTTTTTTATATATACTGTTGCGTCAATAATTGTTTAAACAATTGTTACGAGTGTGAAAATAAAGATTGAGTCAGGTTGGACTTAATTCGGCGATTAAGATAATAAAACCAAACGGGATTAAGTAAACAAGACCGATTATAAAATTGGTTTTAGATTACAGAGAGTCAGTTATTTTAGTTGCTATCGCATTTATAAAACGGTTTATTGAATAACATCGAAACAAGGAAGTGAACATATTTGTTACAAGTAGGTGAAAAAATAAAACTCATTTTCAAAACAAAATCGATTCTGACCCAAATGTATTCTAGTAACTTTTCGGTTTTCACCAAATCTGACTTGACTTTTATAGTTCCTTTCACTATCTCCAAATATCCATTTACAAAAAAAATCAACAATGTTATTTACCAATGATACTAACTATCTTGGAATTGTAAAAATTTATTGATTCATTCGACACCAGTACAAAGAATTATTTAGTTCATTTTTAGTTTTCACATTATTAACATAACCTAGGAAAGTGAAGGTTCATTTATATGGGAACAGTTTGAATCATTCAACTATGTAATCCATTTAAAAGATGTACACAATGAGTGTCCACTCTGCGGCTTTCAACGATAGCAGGCACTTTCTCTCCAACGTTTTTGGTAATCCTGGCTCATCAGGTGGTAGAGAAGAAGATGATGGAGGATTAGATGTTGAGGGTAAAGTCAAAACAAGACTACTTTCCATGTGGAATAACGTTAAATATGGTAAATCTATATCTGACTCATCAGAAGGCTAAACTAAGAATATATATTTAAATTACATTTTTCTTTGTTTTTAGGCATGAAATTAAAAACTAATTTCTCAAAAGAATCTCCGGTGTGGCTCCTCGGCAGATGTTACCACAAAAAACTTGAAAATACTGACTTAACAGAGGTAGCAACTGATGTTGCTGCTTTTCAAAGTCAAGGGAATGTAAGTAATACAATTTAATTGTTGAGTGCAAATTGTTAAAATTTTAATTATATTGATATAAAGAGGAATAAATCTGAAATTAATTTCTTCATTAATCTACATCAAGATTCAAAATGGATCTTATACTAAGTCTGCTTATACTAATAACTATGTTTTAGATCATCTTAATTTGTATATTTCGATAACATTAATTCAGGAAGCTGTGAAACAAATTTCTCCAGAGTAATTCAAGGTTGCTTGCTGCCAAGGCGTTCCAATTAATACCATATTCACCCTAACCTGGTTGACACATACTGAAAAGCCTCTGGCCACAAGCAACCTGGGCTAAACTATGTTACAATTAATACCATATCCACCCTAACTTGGTTGACACATACTAAAGAGCTTCGGCAGCAAGTGATCTTGGCTTATTGATGAAAAATACAATGTTTAAAGTGTTTAGCTTTATTAAGCTTCAATGTAGTAACCAGTTTTGGGTTGATATATCAATTACACTAGTTTATAAAAAAAATATCACAGTCTTGGAGATTTTTTTTATAATGTAGAATCTTAACAGTTGACTGCGGAATTGAAAATTGTAGTATTGCACTGTGTGCGGTACCGGTCCTCGAGGACTGGTAATTACGTTATTGTTTATTTTTGCTTAACGTGCGCATTTTTGAACATTTAATCAATCTGAATGGAGGTATAATTACTAGATATCAACAACTACCTATGTTTATAACCGCATTAGTCTAACTCAATCCTCAATAAGTTTTTGAAATTGTCACAAAATATAAATAAAGGGAACCAGAAGATTAAATAGAGTTTATATAGCTAAAATGTTATTTTTTGTGACTTATATTGAAACATGATAAACACATTCCTGGTTGTCCAGGGCAATCATTACAATAACTTGTTACTTTAGTTACCAAATTACTTGCTTCTCTGCTAGAATACGTTTCCCTCAGATTGTTGTAGCAACCTTGACACTGTCTTCTTCTTTTTTTCCCTGGCCCTGATGGCTTTACAAATGTGTGCGAAACTCTTTTTGGTATCTTCTCCCTGGTTTCGTGAGTAAAAACTAACTCTTGCGCAAGTCTTCTTCTAAACTCGGTAATAGACTGTTTTGAAGAACTAATTTTATTATGTATAATCCATGAATTTACAACAAACGTTCCAAATAAAATCTCGAACGCCAGCTTTCTGTACCATTTCAAACTTCGGCGTAACACTGAGTGGTATGACGACATTTGGTCGCTCAAATC